TAGGCCTATGTTTGTTTACTTTCAATAAATTTCTATTTTGTTATTTTTAACTCTTATCTATTATTATTTACTTTTCTCTCTGGTACAACTACAGTGAATAACAAGATTAATACAGTTTGACAAATCAGGAAAATTATTCGGTAGGCCTAATGACACCGACAAAGGTTACGGCAAAGTGTCCTTAAATGTACGGGAATTGTCCATGAATTTTTTATCCAGAATGTAGTAGACACCCTGTTTAAATTTCTTATCATCTAACAACTTAATATTTTGAGGAAGAGAGTTAAAGATTCTTTTACCTGTTTCAAAAGGTGAATTAATAGTAGCTTGATAATTGCACTGAATGACTCTCAAAAAACTATTTTGTCTAGTACAATGACTATGAACTAAACTATTGGTAGGAAACTCATTTATGTTAGACTTAATATATTCCAATAAATTTAACACATACAATGCAGGTACAGTTAACACTCCTAGTTTTCTAAAAAGTGGCTTACAGTGGGTTCTTCTCCTTACTTTACACATTACTCTCAAAGCTCTTTTTTGTAACACTAACAATTTCTTAATATTATTATCACAGCCCCAAATCACAATACCATACATCAAGTGACTTTGAATTAGAGAGAAATAAACTGCTAACAAAATATCTAAGCTTACTATATTACTAAGTCTTCTGATCACAAAGTGCTTCTAGAAACTTTTTTACATACATTTGAGATGTGGGTGTTCCATTTAATATTTGGTTGTAAAGACAAACCTAAAAACTTAACGTCTTCACTAAAATCATAATTATTGTGATCAAATTTGATTACTTTTGTTTTTTCTTTGTTAAGACATAAGCAATTAGCTGCTACCCAGTCTTCTATTATTAAGTTAAAATGACACAACAATTGATTGGCTAAACTATGACTAGAACAATTAATTTGAATAGCTACATCATCTGCATACATATAAGGTGACACACAAGCATTGCTAAGTGATGCTGATAAATCATTAACATAAATAATAAACATAGTTGGACCGTAATAATAAACTTCTTTCGTCCGCATTACTAATTGATTTAACAAAAGCTTTTGACTGTATGCAACATAGCTTCTTATTAAGAAACTGTACAGCTATGGTATAAGGGATCAAGAGTTGAATTTGTTAGCTTCTTATTTAAGTGACAGAGAGCAAATGGTAATCCAGGGCAAAGACAAATCTAGCTTTAAGAAAATTGAAAATGGTGTACCCCAGGGGTCAGTGCTTGGGCCACTACTATTTATCATTGCAGTTAATGATTTCTCTTTCAATATTCCTTGTACCTCTGTTCTTTATGCAGATGATACAACACTCCTAAACAGCCATAAAGATTTAAAGGAACTTAAAAAAAATGAGAGTCAGGCTTTACAAGTTGCACAAGAATGGTTCCAATCCAATCATTTAATTGTAGTCAATTAATTGTAATTAATCAAATCAGTGAGAGAACATGTACATTGTTAGGTAACTGTAGGAAAAATTTATAACTGTCCTGATTGTTTTTTTTTACCCGTCTGATACTTAGGTAACATACCAATTAAATAAGTTACAACTTAACTTAATTGGCCAATAGTGGTATTGCTTGCTACTAGGTAAGCTTTTGCTAAGGCGGGATTAATTTGAATAGTTTTGTGATCCAACATGATCGGACCATAGGAACAGAGTTTTATGGGACTAAAATGGGATTTTCTCTTTTTTTTACCCTTATAACACAAAATTTATCAATTTTTCTCCGAACCTTTTGAAAGACCTTGAAAAAACAAATAATGTTGTATGTAAAAGTGTTTTTGAGCGTTATTGGTTAAGGAGAAAATAAAAACATTTTTCATTTAAAATTCCAATGTTATTTTAATTGACAATATTGTAAATGTTGTGTTGTGTTGTGTGTTTGTTGGCTTGTTTATGGATATATTTTGATCAAACTTGGCAAATTTATTTATCCAATTACTAAGCCATTAATATTTCAATAAAAAAATCCACTTTATTATAGTTTCCATTTAGCAGCAAACCTAGGTACTCTCAAACAATGTTAATTTAATAGATTAATTAGAAAATCAACCCAGGCAAATGGAAATTCGCTTAGTCAACAGGATTGCTACACCCGGGGTATTTATATAGTGGGAACATTCCTATGGACTAATTACATTGATTTGTTGTGCTTTTATTTGCATAAAAGGGGGTAATGGTCTTATTTTAAGTAAAATAGTTGGTGAAATCGTAACATGTAGCAATTTTAAAGACATCATAACCGGAAACTGCAGTGGGTCCAGACGTGACACCCGAGTTAAAAACAATTCTATAGACACATACATCAACATTGAATGGTAAAACTGTCTATATATATGGCTCGTACACAGCCATCGATGTCGGATTTATATGAGTTTTTGCGCCAAATTAGGTTGTTTTGTAAGACTTTTCTAGTTTCTTGATGTGACCCTTTGAGTAAAGCATATCGAATTTGGTATTTTTGTAAAGCCCTTTTAACGTGCTACAACCTTCTCTTTAAGTTATTTCTGATATGTTGTATCAATAAAACGTAATCAACAAAAATAACACAAAAATATTTAAAAATATAGGTTTTTCCAAAATTACGAAAAATGCACTAAACATACAACAAAAGTGTAAATGTATGAAAGATAGTATGTAAACTTATCTTTCAAACAAAAAAAGTTCATTCCGATCCGATACATGGTATGTAAAATATAGTTATTTTTAATTTAGCCCTTTCCCCCATTTTGATGACGTCATAACCGGAAACTGCAATGGGTGCAGACGTGACACCCGAGTTGAAAAGACTTATTTAGACACATACATCACATAGTTCACGACTGACATTCAACATGTTTCTAGTGCTTCAAACATAGTAGCAGACAGTTTTTCTAGGATAGAATCTATTTCTGCCAACAAGACTAGTAAAATTGATCTGCATCTCTTGGCAGATTCTCAATATAATGATGAGGAACTTATTCTCGAAAACAGTACTTCACTTTGTCTTCAACCAGTTCCAGTTCCTGGCTCTGATGTTTTCGTCTACTGCGGTACAAAGAACGGTAGAGAACGATTGTATATCCCCAAATGTTTACGCAGAGAAGCGTTTAATTCAATCCATAACTTAAGTCACCCTGGGATAAAATCCATGAATAAAATGTTAACTTCAAGATATGTTTGGCCTTCCATAAATCGTGATTGTTATCAGTGAACCTTGTCCTGTCAAGAGTGTCAACGTTCAAAAATTACTCGTCATGTTCAAACACCTATCAACGATTTCCCTTTGCCAAATTGTAGATTTGAACATATTCATGTGGATATCATTGGCCCATTACCCCAAGTTGGAAATCTTCGTTACTGTCTCACAGTAGTAGATAGGTTCACCAGATGGCCGGAAGCACACCCCTTGCAAGGTATCTCTGCCGAAGAAGTCTCGTCAGCTCTTTTCAATTGTTGGATATTAAGGTATGGTGTTCCCTTGCGAATAACAACAGACCAGGGTAAACAATTTTAATCTGCACTCTTTGTTGAGTTGGGAAAATTGTGTGGATTTTCAAGATTAAGAACAACAAGTTACCACCCGTGCGCGAATGGCATGGTGGAACGTTTCCACAGACAACTCAAGTCGGCCATCATGTGCCACTCCGCCTCCACGTGGGTCGAATCCTTAAACCCACACTGCTTCTTGGAATAAGAAATGCTTTCCGTGTGGATCTGAACACCTTGTCTGCTGAAATGGTTTTTGGAGAGGTTTTACGCCTCCCTGGCGAGTATTTTATGCCAACAATCCAGCTGGCACCCTTAGAGGATCCGACTAATTTTGTGTCTCGATTAGGACTCAAGATTTCATCAATAAAACCAACAAATATCAAGAGACACGGTATTAACTGAAGCTTCATTTTTCGTGATTTGGACACATGTTCGCACGTTTTTCTGAGAGTGGATGCTATGAGAAAATCTTTACAACATCCATACACCAGACCTCATCCAGTGATCAAGAAAGACAGTAAAACTATCACAATAAAAGTAAATGGTTCTAATGTTAAAGTTAGTCTTGACAGAGTTAAACCGGCCTATATCCTTCAGAATGATGATGTTAAGCCCTCAACTGTATCTCAAACTTCAAAAGATGTGGATTTTCAAAAGTCGTATACGACAAAGTCTGGAAGAAAAGTGAGATTCAATAATCCAATTTCAGTTTGATGAAAATTGTGTTTATCCTTGCTGTTATTTTTTTAAATTTTTTTTGTGACTTTTCGGAACCCTCCTGAAACTCCATGGACTTCCAGTCTTCGTAGGGGGCTCCTGTAGTGAGCTGACAGATTTATCACTATCAGCTGACAGATGTTTTAAATAGTTTTATTGAATTTTGGTTGCTATGAAGAGAAAAATAAACAAAAGCTTTTCCAACAAAAGTGGATAATTTTTATTTGCACTAAACAATTAATTGTTAATTACTTTTAAAAATATGTTAAATTAAAACAATGATATTTAGTGGAAACCTAGACTTTATTTCAAGTATTCTCCTTTTTAAAAGTGGTTCTTTCCACTAAAGTATTTTTTCATACATAATGAGGTTATGCAACGTTATTTTATACATCTATTGACCATGTTTGATCCGCCTCCTGGTTTATCAAGGTTCTACTACTGTGCTCAAATATTTAAAATGTTTTAAATTTATCTGTTTTTTACTGTACTTATAATAGAAAATACGCAATTTAAAAAAGTTTTTTACCCAACTAAGTTAGTGCCCTTTTTTAAGTTGGGCCCTTTTTTAAGGCAGTTTCGATAATCCAGATAATTTGTCAATCTTAATGAGGTCCGGTCCCAATTAATCTGGGTTATTGACGTTCTACTGTAAACTAAACCAACATACCTTATAAAAATAATAGATATAATTCCATCCAAATTGCTTTTGTTTTGGCAAATTCGATTTCATAAGTTGTTAAGTTGTTTGTTTTGACTGAGGCATAATAGAGTTGTTTGTCTTGCAGCCGAGTGCTGATCTCCACAGATGTATGGGCTCGTGGCATTGATGTACAGACTGTCTCCTTGGTCATAAACTATGACCTACCAAACAACAGAGAACTGTACATTCATAGGTGAGTGGGTCATTCCTTTGTGGCAATATGAGAACATGTACTCGATTCTCGATTCAAGTAGAGTTGAGGCTTTCCAAATACGTAAAATTGTGATTAATCCGCAAAATACTATTGAATACAAAAGGGTAAATACAAGAAAGTATTAAATTATGGTAATTCACATATTTATGTCACATTCAATAGTTATTTGTAGTTTGCACTCGTGTTACACATTATATTTTTCCTACAGTTACTGTAAATTAGACAAATAATTAGTCTTCCAAACACTGTACAAGACGTTTTTTAGGTTAGGTTAAATCCAAAAGGTGTGCCAAAGTAAAAACTGTGCGCCAAATCTGTGCAAGGAAGCCCACTTTGTTGGGTGACTGTAGGAAAACATAACTGAATGTTGTATTTGTCAGGAATCACAATGAATAACCAACATATTTGAACACAATGACATAAGAAACTACAGGTACCGTGCCGTGAATTAATTTCTTTGAAAATAATCTGTAACAGTGTTCTGTTTATGAATAGAGAAATATATTTTTTTGACTCTACTTTCATTTTAATAACCATCTGTAACACAATTATGTCTGCAATCTGAACATTGTATTACAAATGGAAGTTATAAAAGGGGAGGGTCTATGACCTTGAGTGGGCCTGTGCCTGGCTGGAGACAGTGATTTATGGTTTGTTTACATCCTACTGCCCTTCCAAAAATAAGTCACTGCAGTTTCAAAAACATTGACTTACAGTTTAAAAACATTGGCTTGTTTTGAGAATTAAGAAAACAAAGGACAGGATAAGGAGGCTTACCTTATAAATTGTAGGCATATGTTAGACTTCACTAAAGTACCTAACACAAAAGAAAACACAAAGGAAACACAGAATATTTTGAGGCCACTGGCCCCTTTCTGAACATTGAGAGTCACATTAGGTTCTGGAAGTCTTTCACTTGTAAAGGAAGCAGTGCTGCTAACACAATATGAATTTATAAATTAATATTTACACAAGAGTCCAAGCCTTCTTTAGGTATGGAAAGGGGAACAGATATTGTTATCTGAGATTGATGTTTGGGGGCTCCCTGGATTTGGTAAACCATTGGTATGAAAGTTCCCATCTCCTTAGTTGTGATGGGTGGGAGGGAAGGATCTTATTATTTTTTACTATAAAAGATGTTTAAATCTTGTATATTGTAGCTGGCAACATGAATAGGCACTGGTTTGGATGGTTGTTTTGATGTCTGTCCTATGATTGTTAGTTCTTGTTCTGAAGCTGGTGGTGGTGGAAAATCCAATATGGACATTGGTTGCACTGAAGTTGATAGACATTAATTTTTGTGAAGCAGGTATTATTTTGTCCTCTTATTTTCAAAGTTTCTCCTGTTGACGTGCTGGCGAATATTGTGCTGGGTCTATTTATGTTGCAGGTTTTGCATCTTGAAGTGTCACAAGGAAATGAGCCTTCAGCAGCTTTATCTTGGTCTTTTTTAGGATTTGGTAGTCAAGGGTGAACTAACATTTTTGTTTGTCAATTGGCTGGTTGTCGGAATGTAGTTGTGGGAGGTTTTTAAAGAAGTATTTGGTGTGTGGGAATGCTTTGAGGATTTTAAAACCTTTTTTTAGGATTGTGTTTAAGGATTAGAGGCCATGGTGATAGGCTCTAAAAACTCAAAAACCCAACCTACCTGCTGGTTTTGTTTCATTGACGATATCTTCATGATATGGACGGAATTAGAGGAGGTTCTCATTAAATTTATAGACGACTCTCCAATTTCAGTTCCCTCCAATTCACCCACACCACATCCACAACAGAAATCACTTTCCTGCACATAAATTTAAAGCTACAAGATGGTGTCATTAAAACAGGAATACATACCAAGTTGACCAACCACCTCCAATACCTTCATTTCAGTAGCTGCCATCCAACCAACACTAAGTGTTTAATTCTGTAGAGTCAAGCCATAAGAGCCAAAAGAATTTGCTCCTCTGACATAGAACTTAAAAAATTCAACGACAAAATGAATAACTTCCTTACTAAAAGAGGATATCCGGCAAAACTGGTTTAAAATCAAATTCATCTTGCACAATCAGAAACTACTAACTAATAGACCTAGATATGTATTCCTGTTTCAATGAGACCATCTTGTAGCTTTAAATTTACGTGCAGGAAAGTGATTTCTGTTGTGGTTGTGGTGGGGGTGAATTGGAGGGAGTATCCTTTGTACGCAGAATAATTCAAGACACTACCAATATTGAGACTCAATTCATATTTTTTATTTAAATATAAAACATATTTAAAATATAGCCATTATGATATTTTATTATATAACTATTTCTCCGAGTAAATCCCTGTCCCAGATAGTTTTTATAAAAAAAATAAACACCTGCACCAATGGATTGTTGTTTTTATCTGTTATGTTTAATATATAACACAAGTATAAGGATATTAAATGAAGTGTCAGCTTTTGTCTAGCAAACATTTTTGCATAAATAATTTTGAAAAAAAAATACCTAAGGGGCTTAAAACTCTTTTACTGTTCTAAAAATGTTGTAGACCGTTCCTGACTCAAGTTACGAATGGGTATGCGGTAGGGTAGGGGGTTAGGGGCTTTCGTAATGGCGGTCCTGCAAACCGCCTTTATAACAGAAGTTAATTTCTCTGGCTGTAAAAGCCATTAAATTCTGCCAAAAAGCCTGCTATCTTGGTCTCGTCTCTTTCAAGGGGTTCATTCACAATTTTTGATTAAAAATATCTATGATTGTTGCACTCGGAATCTGAGATCTGACGTATATTACATTGTTATTAGAGTCAAAAACACTATAAACCAATCTCAGTGTACTTTTAAGATTTATTTTCAACTTTGGAAGAACTTCAAAAGAGTTCCCAAATTATTCCCAGAGATCCTTAGGGGACGTCCCTGATACTGCTTGAAGTTCTTCCAAAGCTGAAAATAAATCTTAAAAGTACACTGAGTTTACTTTGCTCACTACTACACTAAATTTAGTGTTGCACTTCAATGTGAATCTTCTGTAGTGGCCTTTTATTTACTGTATTTTACCAAACCTCTTTTAAATGAATTGTACTGCTAAGAGTGAAATACCAAGGTTATTGAAAACTATAAAATGTATAACAATTCGATTTATTGTACAAAAACTAAAGATAACAACAAACGATTTAATGGATTCTTAAAGATTGGTTTATAGTGTTTTCGACTCTAATAACAATGTAATATACGTCAGATCTCAGATTCCGAGTGCAACAATCATAGATATTTTAAATCAAAAATTGTGAATGAACCCCTTGAAAGAGAAGTACATGGCGCGGTTACAAACCAACTCCGAATGTGCCAACTGAGGTGTGATATTTTACTTTAATTTGAGATGACCAGTACTCGCAAATCCTTCGTTGGCCAACGACTTAAAAAGTGAAGATCGTGTCTCGTAGTCCAACCTGGTTAAACAGTATTTCTGTTTGAACGCAGTAAAATGTGATGAAAGACTGCTTATTATTTTATAGCTAAAGAGTACTATGGCGGTTCATCTATTATGAAACACACACACTATCCCAATTAACACTTCCGTGTCTAGTCGAACCTGCAGCCTACCTCAACTTTCAATATTGTTTAATTTATTTTCCCCAAATCAAAACAATGGCTGTTGCACTCTTAATAAATATTTACTAAAATTTAACAACAAAATTCAACAGTGATTCTACAAATAATTGTGTTGCGATAGAATTCTTTGCAAGTTACTTTCCTACAAAAATATGTTCATTTAATTTAATATAAAAGCATAAGATTACTACAGTCTACTATATAATACTGATTGATTTACTAAAAACGGATATAAAAATCCCCTGCGAAACTTAGATCTAGAGACATCTATATATATAAAAGGCAAAGCCCTCACTGACTGACTGACACACTCATCACTAATTCTCCCACTTCCCACTTACCTAGGAGGCTGAAATTTGGTACACTGATTCTTTAGGCATTAAATAGGAAAACTGAGTGGTTTTTATTCTGATCGGACTCTCGGGCTCCGCCCCAGTGGCTCTGGAGTTTCCCATGTTAACCTAATGAGTACTCATATTTAAATGGAATTAATGAATCATAACAGCTGTTTCAATTAAACAAGTTGGTTCTGTTCTGTGATGTTCAATAGCATTAAAGTTACTAGGATTACCAACAGAGTGCAGCACTATTATTTTTTTTAAATCTATGACAACAGCTAATTTGCAACCAAAAGGTGAGTGAGCGCAGCGAACGAACTTCAACCCGGAGGCGAGTTAGCGTAGCGAACGAGCTAACCTGAAGGCAAGTGAGCGCAGCGAACGAGCTCCAACCGTAAAGGTGAGTGAGCGTAGCGAATGAACTTCAACCAGGACGTGTGAGCGCAGCGAACAAGCTCCAACCCAAAGGTGAGTGAGCGTAGCGAACAAACTTCAACCAGGACGTGATTGAGCCAAGAGAACGAGCTCACATATGAAGTTAAACGGGGCAAAGCCCGCGGGTACAGCTAGTGTGCTTGTATAACAAGAATTAACAAAATGTAACATGAAAATTTTACACATGTGCGATTCACTGAAAAATTACAACTATAACCATAAACAACATAAATTACTTACAAATTTGGACGTCCGACACTGATATATACACTGGGACAGGTAGGGATAAAGCGTAATTAGGCGAGCTTACCAAAACGCGGTTGATTTGATTTGGTTTCGAACGTGAAATTTTCAATGGCGGTCTGTGTTAGCCGGTAAAGTAAATTTACAACACTTTTTTCTCGGAATTAATATTTTCAAACCGCGTGGCAATGATATCCCTGCGGGATATAGGCTTAATGATTTAAAATTTTTTAAATACGTGCGTTGCATAAAAACAATTGTGTAAGTTTTAAAAATTTCAAGAGTCCTTGTTATTTTACGAATCCAACTACGAATAATATAATGCGTTACCAGATTTCATTAATATTTTAAATGGAAAAAAATTCCAATCATTTTACACACTGGCTGTTTAATTAGGGTGCAACAGTCCTGTCTATTTAATTAGTTTATTAAAATATATGTACATATCTCAGTAAATCGAAATGAAAAAAAAATCTAGTAGACTAAATACATCTAGAGGACACCCTTGCATTTGTTTTCCCTCTTGTAGCCTGTTACACATGAGACAGTTTTTTTACCTTTTTGTTTAGTTTTACGTGGTCGTCCTGTGAAACTCTTTTTACCCTTATTTTCAACAATGCTGAGTCCCTGATCTTGTTTGACTTCCACTTTACACTGTTGAACAGTTTGCACCTCACTAAGAGTTTTAACATGTACAACTTATGTTCTTTACACTGCACCAACCACTGAGGATATATCTTCTCGGTATGTAATGAAATTTGCTCCACCAATGTCTTGGTAACTTCGGTGTTTGCAATTACCTTTGGAAGAAGATTAGCAAAGCAAATTACTTGAAATTTAAGAACTTTGTGGAGAAAATCGGATGGCTTGCACAGCTTCGCTAATTCACCGGTGTGCGTAGTGAAGGTTTTCATCAGGAGAAGGTGTTCACGCGGTATAAAAACGGTAGAGTTTTCTTTTAGTAGATTTGTTTTGCATGTGTCACAGGCAAATTTGTCTATACAGTTTTTCCCAATCCAACCAGATATGTAACATATAACACTGTCTTCAAATAGTGTCACTTTTATTTCTTCTTCGACTGGCTGCTCCGGTTGCTGGTATGTATCACAGGACAGCTGATGACTGGTCGATGGTTTTGAACTAGATAGTTTCTAAGTTTGCTATGAAAATTGTTAACCGTGATTACAAAACTAATACTGTAGCTATAAAGTAAATAAATGTTAAAATAAAATATTTATCCCTGTCGGGTGTCGGTATCATCGGAATAGACTTTTGACAATCGAGTCTTGGTACCGATACCAATGTCCAAGTGGTAACCAATGGATGGCGGTATCGATGACGACAATCGACACATCCCTTTGTAGAACTGCATCGTGACCAAATCGATGCATGCTGGATCGAATCGGGATTCGATGTATCGAATTGAAATTTCAATGCATCGCACTCGCTGCACACCACTACCTATCGCTATCACCCAGTGTCAGCTGTCCCTGTCAGTGAAATGGATGACGCAAGCGATGTCTAGTTTGCCGATTATTATTAGGCCTAGTATGTCAATATTGAAAGGGGTTGTTAAGGGATTAAATGAAACTCAAACATTTTCCTTTCTTGTTATTTACTTGTCAAACATTAACGAAATCGGCTTAACCTCTACTACTCGACTCGAGTTGCGAATATATTTAACTAAGTAGGCAAACAGCAAGGATTTATAACGGCAATGGCAATTTACCCGCTCTGAACTGACTTAATCCGCACCGATTCGTAGCATTCAGTAGTTCAGTGTCAGTATCGGTATCGAACCCAAAACAGGCAAGTATCGAGTATCGACGATATTGAGAGTATTTTGGTATTGAGTATCGGTATCGGCCCACCTCTAATTAAGACCAAGAAGGTTAGCTCCGGATAAATATAAAATTGCCAAATTAGAGTTTGAATCCATGGTAGCAAATGGAACTAAGTGTCGATCCAAAAGCCCATGGTCATCACCACTTCATATGGTACCTAAAAAGAATGATGAGCGGCGACCATGTGGCGATTACCGAGCATTGAATGCCCGCACTATTCCAGATTCTTACCCTGTTCGACATATCCATGATTTCTCAAATTGTTTGCACAGTAGCAAAGTTTTCACTGTGATAGATCCTGTAAAGGCATATACGCAAATCCCAGTTAATAAAGGAGACGTGCCAAAGACCGCAATAACGACCCCATTCGGTCTCTTTGAATTCCCCTTCATGTCTTTCGGATTGAGGAATGCTGGTCAAACTTTTCAAAGGTTTATTGATGAAGTCATTTTTCGTAGAGGGACTCAGTTTTTGTTTCCCATACATTGACCATATCCTTGTTTTCTCAAAAGACCCTGTTGAGCACGAAGAACACCTCCGTATTCTGTTCAAGAGGTTAGTCAAATATGGCGTCCTTATAAATGTGAAGAAATCCGTATTTAACACTCACTCAGTAGTTTTTTTGGCATATCAAGTCACCGCTGACGGAACCAGGCCTGTGCGTGATCGCATTGACGCCCTTCAGAAATATCCTTTGCCACAAACTGCCAAAGGTCTTAGGCAATTCTTGGGAATGTTGAACTTTTACCGCAGCCTCACGCTGCAGAATTTCAAGCCCCTCTCCACACTATCCTTTCGTCATTAAAAGGGAATCAAAAAGTCCCTTGGACCGATGTATTGACTGAAAAATTCAGTAAATGTAAAGATCATTTAGCCGAAGCTACATTACTTTGTCACCCCAACGCTAATGGTAAATTAGCACTTTTTTGTGATGCATCGAATACTGCAGTAGGATCAGTACTACAACAATTGAATCAAGATGGAATATGGGAGCCTCTGTCCTTCTTTTCCCAAAAACTAACACCTAAGCAAGCCAGTTGGCCCGCTTATTATAGGGAATTGTTTGCCATCTATTCGTCTGTTAAACATTTCAGACATATATTAGAAGCTAACAACTGTACTGTCTATATTGATCACAAGCCCATCACTTTAGTTTTTCAACAAAAGAAGGACAAACTACCTCCTGTTCAAACTAACCATCTTTCATTTATCTCACGTTCACGACTGACATAGTAACGTTACTGGTGCTTCAAACATAGTAGCAGACAGTTTTTCTAGGATAGAATCTATTTCTGTCAACAAGACTTTAGTAAAATTGATCTGTATCTCTTGGCAGATTCTCAATCTAATCATGAGGAACTTAAGTCTATTCTCGAAAACAGTACTTCACTTTGTCTTCAACCAGTTCCAGTTCCTGGCTCTGATGTTTTCGTCTACTGCGATACAAAGAACGGTAGAGAACGATTGTATATCCCCAAATGTTTACGCAGAGAAGCGTTTAATTCATTCCATAACTTAAGTCACCCTGGGATAAAATCCATGAATAAAATGTTAACTTCAAGATATGTTTAGCCTTCAATAAATTGTGATTGTAAAGAGTGGACCTTGTCCTGTCAAGAGTGTCAACGTTCAAAAATTACTCGTCATGTTCAAACACCTATCAACGATTTCCCTTTGCCAAATTGTAGATTTGAACATATTCATGTGGATATCATTGGCCCATTACCCCAAGTTGGAAATCTTCGTTACTGTCTCACAGTAGTAGATAGGTTCACCAGATGGCCGGAAGCACACCCCTTGCAAGGTATCTCTGCCGAAGAAGTCTCGTCAGCTCTTTTCAATTGTTGGATATCAAGGTATGGTGTTCCCTTGCGAATAACAACAGACCAGGGTAAACAATTTGAATCTGCACTCTTTGCTGAGTTGGGAAAATTGTGTGGATTTTCAAGATTAAGGACAACAAGTTACCACCCGTGTGCAAATGGCATGGTGGAATGTTTCCACAGACAACTCAAGGCGGCCATCATGTGCCACTCCACCTCCACGTGGGTCGAATCCTTGCCCACAGTGCTTCTTGGAATAAGAAATGCTTTCCGTGTGGATCCGAACACCTCGTCTGCTGAAATGGTTTTTGGAGAGGTTTTACGCCTCCCTGGCGAGTATTTTATGCCAACAATCCAGCTGGCACCCTTAGAGGGTCCGACTAATTTTGTGTCTCGATTACGACTCAAGATTTTATCAATAAAACCAACAAATATCAAGAGACACAGTATTAACCGAAGCTTCATTTTTCGTGATTTGGACACATGTTCACACGTTTTTCTGAGAGTGGATGGTATGAGAAAATCTTTATAACATCCATACACGGGACCTCATCCAGTGATCAAGAAAGACAGTAAAACTATCACAATAAAAGTGAATGGTTCTAATGTTAAAGATAGTTTGACAGAGTTAAACCGGCCTATATCCTTCAGAATGATGATGTTGAGCCCTCAACTGTATCTCAAACTTCAAAAGATGTGGATTTTCAAAAGTCGTATACGACAAAGTCTGGAAGAAAAGTGAGATTCATGAATCCAATTTCAGTTTGATGAAAATTGTGTTTATCCTTGCTGTTATTTAATTTTAATTTTTTTTTTTTTTTTTTGTGACTTTTCGGAACCCTCCCGAAACTCCATGGACTTCCAGTCTTCGTAGAGGGCTCCTGTAGTGAGCTGACAGATTTATCAGCTGACAGATGTTTTAAATAGTTTGATTGAATTTTGGTTGCTATGAAGAGAAAAATAAACAAAGAGACATTCTTTTAGGCTTTTCCAACAAAAGTGGATCATTTTTATTTGCACTAAACAATAAATTGTTAATTACTTTTAAAAATATGTTAAATTAAAACATTGATATTTAGTGGAAACCTCTAGACTTTATTTCAAGTATTCTCCTATTTAAAAGTGGTTCTTTCCACTAAATGTCTGGTAGTTTCTAGACACATGGATGTTTTCAACTGATTTTTTTCTAATTACAAAATTTGTATATAATGTTATCTTAGTTATATTTTTTTTTCTCATCTTTTTGTCTAGGATTGGTCGATCTGGAAGATTTGGCAGGAAAGGTGTAGCTATAAACTTTGTGAAAAATGATGACATCCGTATCTTGAGAGATATTGAACAGTATTACTCAACCCAGATAGATGAGATGCCTATGAATGGTAAGTAAACACTAATGTTATCATGATTTATAGTCAACAGACTAACAAAACACATTCCAGTTTTCAGCTTTAAAAATGATTTTAAATGTAAGATTGGTTATCCATTTCCCATGGTTATAGCAAATTTTCCATGTAGGGAATATTAGCGAATTTCCCATTTAGAAAATATTAGCGAATTTCCCATATAGACCTAGACAAAATACTTATTTACTTTATCCTTTTGATGTCCCAACTTACTTGATTCTTTTGATACATTCAATTTCATATATACTAGCTGTTACCCTGCCATCTTTGCCTGACATAGTTTTGCGTTTTATTACTACTAGTACCTGGTGACCGAACCATATGACTATCCGCAGTACTATCCTGATAATTAGAATACAATCATTTAAAATATGCAGAGCTCAAACCTCTCTTCAAGAAAGGCGAGAGACAAAATCCGGACAATTATCGACCAGTTTCGCTTCTACCATCATTTTCAAAAGTGTTTGAAAAACTAGCATCCAAACAAAACCCAAGTTATCTTGAGGATAATAATATTTTGGCTAGTGAACAAATTGGTTTTAGAAAGGGTGTAAGCACAATGAAAGCTTTATCAGATTTCATTAGTGAGGTTTCATGGCCTTTGGATGGGTCACAGAGCACAATGGGAGTGTTTTTGTGACCTATCCAAGGCATTTGACTCTGTCAACCATGATATTATTTTCAAAAAGCTAAATATAACTTTTGAAAAAAAAATCTGTCTTATGGTTGACTTCACACTTAACAAACCATTTTAAAGAACAACATTTTTTTTAAATAATGAAAAATCAATATCAGAATGGGAAAAAATTACAGTTGGTGTTCCTCTACTAGGCTCAATCCTTGGACCTTTACTCTTTATTTTGTATATAAATGACTTGCCTAAAAATGTCTCTAACAAGCTTATTTCATATGCCGACGATACAACTGCAGTTTTCAAATGTAAAAATGATTTCAGAATTATTGCTCAAAGTTAAACAAGCCCTATGGAAACTGGAACAGTGGTTCAACATTAATGGTATAAAAATGAATCAAGATAAAACCTAATTGGTATAGTTTTGTACTGCTCAGGCGAAAGAGTTTATAGACCAAAATTTAGCTGATGATGATGCAAAATTTCTCGTTTTGTGCTTAGATTCGAATTTAAATTGGAACAAAAGCATTGAAAATTTAATTGGTAGACTGAATTCGGCTTGTTATCAAATGATATGTTAAAGAAACACAATTAAATTAAAAACTCGTTTCATGTTATATTATGCATACTTCTATTTAATTCTTCAATATGGAATTGAATTCTAGGGCTTTGCATCCAACATTGATTTAATTTTTAAGATTCAGAATTGTTTTTAAAAAGAATAATGACATTTGCACCATCGAGAACATCATGTAAGCCTTTTTTTTTTGGAATTAGGAGTAATGACTGTTCCGAGTTTAACAATTTTTAAAACACTTGATGGTAGAAGGAAATTTTGAAAAATTATGTAGTGAAAACGTTAAGCATAGGTATTATACTAGGTTTAAAACTAACTTTCTGTATCCGCGGCATCGTTTTTCATTACTAGAAAAAAAAACCTAACATACATGGGCAAAAAATTATTTAATAAACTGTCTCAAGAATTAAAGAACAAATTACAGTCCAAGCATTTCAAAAGCAGCCTTGTTGTTTTATTTTAAGAAAAAACCTATTACAGTATACTGGAGAACGCGTGCGGCTCAATGAGCCGTATAGTATGAAACATAACGCAGAGGAGAGCGTTATGCTTTAATTAGAGTAATTCTAGTTACATATTAGAGTTGTTTGAAAACTTGTTTGGAAACTAATTTTAAATATCTCTATTTGCGCCGTCAAGGTTCACCTTCATTATTTCTGCTCTCAGTTTTAACTGATAACTTCTAATGCATGCTAAATGTTCTGCTTCAACATGTTGCAACAAAGTTGTTAAAGCACTGAGAATAAAAAAAAAAACTGTTGCCTTACTGATAACCTGTGTTAAGAAATCTAAGTTGGGTCATTTTATTTCTTTTATTTGAGACATCCTCCTAAACCAACGATTTTTTTTCGTATAGAATCCTGTAAACATAAATAAATTATGTCAATAACCCGAATGTTGTTTAGGATAATTAGTTTTCACATTTAGTTTAGTATTTAAAAATGTAGAGTCTAACGTTCTTTCAGCTAGGGCCACTTGTCGGCTTTTAGCAGCGGTACAGAGTAATAAATCACCGTCCTTCTACGAAAGGACAGAACCTTCCTCGCCAGTTCTTAGAATGTTGTAACTCAAATCTTGGGTAAGGGAGGTGTCTTTTGTCTCTGTTTCGACGAGCACCACATTGTTAAGTTCGCATAGCTTCATATAGAACGTGAGAGGTAGATCCCTCCACACATTTCATTTGTCTTCATTCACATTATGTTAAAACCACATTAGTTTTTTCACAACGGTTTCATTTATACAGCCCACTAATATTAGCCTATTTGTTAATTTCTACATCAATACAATTATAGTTGATTTCAAAGTGTTAGTTTTTATTATTACCAAAGCAATGGCGCATAACGCGCTGAAACACTTTAAGACAAATTATTTTTTTGTTCCAGATTATTACCTCTAATTCTACTGATAATTTCAGTTTTATACACCATAATACATTTGAAGTTATGAGCAATCAAATAATTTCTAATCGTAATGCTGCGATGTTATTTGAAATGTTTACTTATTAGTACGAACTTTATAGAACAACACAATACACAATACAAAACAATATTTAAGTTTTGAATTCTTAAAAAAGTGTCGTGAAAACATTAATATATATATATAAATATGTATATATGATATTCAGTACTTACCGCAATTAATCGTCCAAATATCAGCTAATGGTGAATTTGGGAACCGGAACATACGGACACCTTCCTCCCGGCTTGAAGAACAAGACTTATAGCTACACTTTGTCCTTGGCATGATAACAATTAGCTTAAACAACTAAAAAAAACCCTATTTCGAAACACAAATATACATTGACAATTGAGAATACTACTACAATTCCGTTTTGAAAGTAACGCGCGCGCTGGCTACACTAGACAGTGCAGATGAGCCATGCCAGCTTAGCTAGGAGAGAGAGGGAAATAAGGGTGCGTGCAGTTGGCAGCACTGACAGCGCTTGCCTGTCAATGCTGGTGGCGCTGCCTATGGAGCAACAGGCAAAGCTCTCTCCGAGTACTTAACGCTTATAACCAGCAGTCAGCATTCTGGGTAATAGTAGTATATTTTCTGTGACTACGCCGACGAATTGATGTTCTTGCGTTGTCCTCTACACTATCATGTACATACGTAGCCTCAATATTTTCAAGGGGGCAACCTGCCTGACTGCGCACTGGTCTTTTAATGTCCAAAACTGAGTTATTTTCTTCAAACTTAGAAATCCATCTTTGGACAGATCACTCATTTAGTACATTGTCCCGGCCGAAAATATCGCGAAGCTTCTGCACAGTTTCAGCGAAACATTCCCCGAACTTGTAGTGCACCTTAACTATGACCACGTATTGATCCGTCGTGTAGATTCATGACTACGAGTGGGACCTAATACTGCTAACATCGCTGATAATTTAGGAATTCCTATTGAAATACAGATAAGGCTAAGACGCTCCTGAAATCCGGCAGTCTTACTGGGATACCCGTTACTATTCACAATCATAAACAATTTATGGTTTCATTTTCTTGTTACTTGTGCACCCCTATTGTTATTCTAATTTACCTCAACCATCTAACCACTGAAAAGCCGTAAATGTCATGATTCCACCTGTGAAAAGCTTTGTGTGGTGGACTGATATGAAAATTGAGTGAATTTGATGTAGTTTTGTTTTAAAGTTTATTAATAATTGATTTGGGGTTTCTTGTTACAGTGGCTGATCTGATCTAAAGAGAAGTCCTCAAGAAGTTAATGATGTATCTTACAATGTGTGTATAGTAGGTTCTTGTAAATATGTTATTTTTTAGCAGTAGTTTTTTTTTTTTCAATAAATTTTTTACTCTCTGTAATGATTAGGAAAATAATATGTAACAGTTACATAATATTGTTTAGTACAAATTATAAGACCAATTAGGTTTTTGAAAAATCTCTAAGTTTGTCTTTGCTCATTAAACTTAAAAATATTGCTTTTTTTCAAAACTGTAAAATATTTTTACTAATAAAACTTGGTTTGTCTGTGGAAATGTTCTATTAAAATATATTTTATCTGTCGATCATTTATTTATTTCCTTGTGCATAACAGTACGTATTTATAAAATTATATAAAGTAATTAGCTGATTGGATCATTTTTTTGTGGTAGTCACACTTTTTGGTGTCACAGAAAATTTGGTATCACAATTGCCTGATATCTTAGGTGGGAAAAAATTAAATGTGGGTTCATTTTGAGTGTTGAGCAATTATGTGTCTGAAATCAAAAGACAAAAACAGTAATTGAATACAGTTTCTATTGAATTGTGGATATTTATAGGCATGCACTGTGGATGCGAGATACTCCCTGGGCCCTGTTTCATAAAAATACTAGTCTAGTAATTACTAGTCTAGTAAATACTCGTTCCGTATTTACCTGTCCTACTAGTTTGTGTTTCATAAACATTTTTATACCGCTAGTAAATACTAATTAATACCTGCGCTAGTATTTACCTGTGTATTTTACTAGTCACGTGGCCAACTTTACAAGTGAACTCTCAACACTAATTTCTAACCTCAATCACGGGTTTTCTGATGCTTCATAAAGGGTTTGAATTTTTTCCATTTGATACAAAAAATAAATAGCTGTAGAAACTCATTGTCTTCTTTTAAAAAATAACTATATAGACATATAAGTAAAACAATAACATATTATTTATCAAACCGCTATTATTTATGTTCATCAATGAGCCTGCGCCGGTGTCGCCGCAAACACGGTCATTGTAGTAGCCGGTTGTAGGCCTAGTTGCGGCGCTCAACACTCAACAGTTAGGTGGAAGTTGATCTGTTGCTGCCGCATTCGCTGTGAGTTTTATAGTTTGTTTTATTCTGACGTATAAAATTAAGCTTACCACGAGCAAAAAAAGAAGGCTCAAATTTTGAATGTAATTAAATCGTAAGGACATTTTGTTTAGAATGTTTTCAAGTAGCCTACTCTATGTACTACGTTTTCAAATATTCATGCATAAGAATATTCGGGTAGAAACCCGTTTGGTGATTTTCTAATTTTGAGTCTACAAACCATGAATAATAACAGTTTACTGATGTAATTAATAATTGCAACGCTGTTACAAGCAATTAGTGGGGGAGCTAAAGTAAAAAAACCATAAGAAAACTGCAAATTGTGATAAGAGTATGCCCTTTGGTGGGAATGTAGTTTAAGGTTAGGCAATGAAAATGAGATGGGGAGGTACCGACCAAAGTTGCTATAATCCAAATTGGCGCCGATTTTTCAAAATGGCTGCCCGTATTTTGGGTTTTAGCGAATTTCCCTATAGGGAAGTAGCTATTACCGTAGGTGGCACGGTAAGACCTAGACCCGGGACCGATTTACTTTTTCATTTTGATGTCCCCAGAGGCCAAAAACACCATTCGTTCAAATTTTTATATATGTATATATATATATACTTGTATATATATATATACGTCCGTGAACGCGATAACTTGAGTAATTTTTGTCCGATTTTGATGAAATTTGGTTTAAAGGTGTAAAGCGGGATAAACTTGAATGAGTTCGCGAACCAGCACGATCGGACCATGGGAACGGGGCTTTACTTGGGGGTTTTATGGGGTAAAAATTGGTTTTTCTCACTTTTGACCCTCAAAACACAAAATTTCCCAATTTATCTTTAAACCTTTTTAAAGAGCTTAAAAAAACAAATAATTTAGTATATAAAAGTATTTTTGTTCGATTATTAGTAACCGAGAAAATTAAAAAAATTGTAAATTTAAAATTCCCATGTTATTCTTATGGAGAATACTGTCATATGTTGTAGTTTGCTTGTTTATGGATATATTTTGATCAAATTTGGCAAATTTATTTGTTTTGTACTAAGCCATCAATATTTTACTCAAAAACACACTTTATTAGTTTCCTTGTAGCAGCAAACCTAGGTACTCGTTAAACCTAATGTTATTAAAATATATTTAGGCCTAACTGAAAATCAATTCAGACAAATGGAAATTCGCTTAGTCGGCAGGTTTGCTGCGGTGGGGGTATTATATATTTTCTTTTGATATACGTCATGCAAAATGGTGTTTCTGATAAATTTTTACGTATTTAGGTATGAGCTAAGTAAATAAGTTGAGTAATAATGTAATAAACGTAAATTTATTTACAGAACATTTGTATCACCAAATAAAAAAGCGCTATATTTTATAAGTTGCAGAATATTTCTACCAACACCATTTTTCGCTAATTTGCCTATAGGAAAGTAGTTATTACCGTAGGTGGCATGGTAAGACCTAGGCCCGGGACCGATTTACCTTTTCATTTTAATGTCCCCAGAGGCCAAAAACACCATTCGTTCACATTTTTATATACAGGGTGGCTAAAAAGTAACTTGCACCCCCCTTTAACTTTTCAACCATTTGAGATATTTGAAATCGGTTTTCAGCAACCTTCTTAGATATGAAGGGCTACAATAATTATGGTCAATATTGAAAATTCTACCCTTAAGGGTAGTGGGGGTGATAACATTTTCAAATAACATGTATAGTCGAGTTTGGTATCATTTTACAGGTCTTAACAAAACATTAACATTGACATAAAGAAAACCAATATCGGCTCACTAATAACAAAATGCGCCCTAAAACGTTTCAAATCCTAATAACCATGAGGGTGACAAAAAATTAACTTGCACTCTCTTTAACTTTTTAACTATTTGAGATATTTGAAATCGGTTTACGGAAACTTTTTTTTGGATAAGAAGGGCTACAATAATTATGGTCAGTTTTGAAACTTTTGCTCTTCGGGGTAGCGGGGGTAGGGAGTAGCTCAAAATTTTCAAATAGCAAGTATTGTCGAGTTTGGTATCATTTTTTAGGTCTTGACAAAACATAACAATTACATAAAGAAAATATAAATCGGACCATTAATAACAAAATGGCAGTTCAAAATTATTTTAAATAACCATTGTCTCAATCATTTTTAGCTGCTGTTTTGTTGTTAATGGTCCGATTTCTTTTTTCTTTATGTAGTTGTTATGTTTTGTCAAGACCTAAAAAATGATACCAAACTCGACAATACTTGCTATTTGAAAATTTTAATCTACTCCTTACCCCTAAAGGAAACATTTTAAAAACTGACCATAATTATTGTAGCCCTTCATATCCAAACAATTTGCCGCAAACCGATTTCAAATATCTCAAATAGTTAAAAAGTTAAAGAGGATGCAAGTTAATTTTTTTGTCACCCTCATGGTTATTTGGATTTTAAACGTTTTAGGGCGCCATTTTGGTATTAGTGAGCCGATTTTGGTTTTCTTTATGTCAATGTTTATGTTTCGTCAAGACCTGTAAAATGATACCAAACTCGACTATACTTGTTATTTAAAAATTTTGAGCTACTCCCTACCCTCGCTACCCTTAAAGGCAAAATTTTCAAAATTGACCATAAATATTGTGGCTCCTAATATCTAAGAAGGTTTCCGCAAACCGATTTCAAATATCTAAAATGGTTGAAAAGTTAAGGAGGGTGCAAGTTTATTTATTTATTTATTTATTAAACATCATCACATTACATCAATTCTCTTGACAGGTGATTTGTCACAAAGTCTAATACTAATACTATACTACATTTTAAAATAAAATAGCTTACAAAATAAATAAAGCATATAATAAGCTACAAACCTATAGGAGAAGCAATATCTTTCAAATATACTCATTTTCCAGATATTCCTCTAACGAGTAAAATGCCCTCTCCAAAAGGAAATTTTTTAAAGATAGTTTAAATTTAGAGAATGAGGCAATGTTTTTAATCCCAGCGGGTAATTTATTGTAAATTTTTGGTCCCATATACTGAGGGGATAAATGAAAGATTTTAAGCCTATGTTGAACTGGTTTTATAATATTTTTGAATCTTGTGTTATGTAGATGAGATTGTTGACAGTCCATGAATGTGTCGAAATCACTTTTAACCATTAATGCCAATTTGTAAATATAAGAGCTAAAAAAAGTTAAAATTTTAAAATTAATAAATAAATCTTTACAATGTGTTCTACGGGAGACTCTGGCCATTAATCTTACAGCTCTTTTTTGGAGAATAAATATTTTTTTGGCCTGGCTTGATGAGCCCCATACAGTAATTCCATAATTCATAATCGATGAAAAATATGCGTGATATACTACTATTTGTGTTTCTAGATTAGTAGTATCCCGAATTATTGTGAGAACAAATGTTGCTGAGCGTAGTCTTTTTGATAGGTTTTTAATGTGTTTTTGCCAATTTAGTTGTGAATCGATTTCTATTCCCAAATAATTTATTGACTGTTGTGAATGAATTGTAGTTAAGTTTGTATTTACAATTATTTCTTGGTTAATATTGGATGCAGAAAACTGAATTAGTTGAGTTTTTGCCACATTCATGGACAGGCCATTTACTGCAAACCAATCCCCAAGGAGTTGAAATTCCTTAGTTATTGAGGCTTGAATGAACTCATTGTTTTGTCCTGTGCATATTAAAGCGGTATCATCTGCATATTGAAAGGTGGACATCTTAGTAGCATTGCATAGATCATTAACATAAATAATAAATAAACAAGGGCCGAGAATGGAGCCCTGAGGAACTCCATTGGGGTTAATGTTCCACTCTGATTTATAATTTCTCTGCATTTTTTGTAAAATAAGTCTTTGTTTTCGGGTCTTTAAATATGATATGAACCATTTTAATTCAGTATTTTTTATTCCATGCATACTTAATTTTTCTATGAGTATCTCATGATTCACACAGTCAAAAGCCTTGGATAGGTCACATAGCACACCCACAGTCTTCTGCGATCCATCCAAGGCTTCCGCAATGTAGTTAATCATTTTTGTTATGGATTTTTCAGTACCGAGTTCTGGGCGGAAACCAAACTGTGAAGGATTTATTAAATTATTGCTTTCTAAATATTCTGTTAGTTGAATCTTTACAATTTTTTCAAAAAAAGTTTAAGTTACTTTAAGTTACTTTTTTAGTTAGTTTTATTTAAGTTACTTTTCAGCCACCCTGTATGTATATATTTGTGTGTTTGTGTCTGTGAAC